TATTACATCCAGTCTACTCTGTTCCCTATGTTAAACACAGGGTTCGTACGGGTGCTTGAAATCCTTGAAAATGCTTGAAATTTGAGGTGGTGTTTTCAAGGTTGGGAAAGTGCTTGCATTTTGGGAATGGTGCTTGAAATTGAGATAAAGTGCTTGAAAATGTAAATGCTTTACTTTTACAATAAATTGCTGTCTGACTGAATAGTTCGCTTTTTAGATTAAAAGAAAAATAATTGCTTCACTTCTACATAAAACAGCTCCGCTGCACCTTCCCGCGCTATGCGCGCGACCTGCAAGTGTTTGTGTTACGTGTGATAGATGACTGTGTGCCAGGAGGTTGCAGTTTCAACGAGCGTTGGCTAGCAGAAGACAAATACAAGCTATGGCTAAGACGAGGGTCAAGCCCACGAGTAGCCTCCTGCAAAGTTTGCAACAAATAACGATGCGAGAGTCTGCGCTGACGAGCCACATGAAAGGTACGCCGTAGAAGAGCATTTTAGATTAACGTTGCATGTTACGTTTGTTTAAGCTAACGTTAGCTAGCTGAATAGCGAACTCGATTGAAGGATAATAGTAATAATTGCAGGGGACAATCATTTCAGAGGAGCGTACCTATGTTAATATGTGCGTTACAGTCGCCATCCTGTGGTGTTCAGAGGATGAAGCACTCACGGCATTTCGTGTTATAGTCACGAAATATAATCTATTGATTCGACACAGAGCGATTTTGAAAGCAATGTATTTCTACTGGTGGTATGTTTCGTGCCTAAACCAAATGTGACTTGCTCTATCGAAATCAGTCACATTGACCCGAAGACACATTTTCGTTTGTATTACTGGTCTGGGGGAAGCTCGCGAGTGTGTTTGTGTACCGGGGAAACACTCACAAGAAACACCGGCGGCTGTTATGCTTGCTGTGATGTTACATTAGTCCGTTCTCTGCTTGTAATTATGCCGAAGCTTCAAAGTTGTATTTATCTTCTGAATTTGCCGAAACAAGTTAAATATATTCTGAAAGCCAATACTTTGTTTATTTGAAAACAGATGAAAACAAACTGTCTTTTATATAAAATTGAAGTATTATACAAGTAAAACTACATTTTGCTTTAATGCCATGTAATTATAGAATGAACACAGTCTTCCTTTGAAGATGTATAAGTCAGGTGTCTTGAGTAGTCAGCATTACCTAAAAATCATTGTACACATTTGTAAATATTATTTTCCACTTGTTACCATTGTGAGTCTATTTTTATGCAGCTCTGCGTGATTTTGTGGCTACAATTCAGACTAATACACTACCAGAGGTGGAATAAGTACTCGGATATTGTACTTGAGTAAAAGTACAAGTACTCAGATCTTGTACTTGAGTAAAAGTAGAAGTACCAGAGTGTAGGAATACTCTGTTACAGTAAAAGTCCTGCATTCAAAATGTTCCTCAAGTAAAAGTAGAAAAGTATTATCATCTAAATATAGTGAAAGTAGCGACAGTAAAAGTAGTCGTTGTGCAGATTGGTCCATTTCAGAATAATATATATGATATGTTTTATAATGATTGATCATGAAAGTGTTCTCAAAGCTGGTAAAGGTGCAGCTAGTTTGAATGACTTTGTGTACTGCAGGGTAGCTTGTGAATTTACTCCAGGTGGAACTAAAGTCTGATTTAAGACTTGAATATATTCACATCATTCATCCTGATCTGTGAAGTAACTAAAGGTATTAAATACATGTAGTGGAGTAGAAGAACACCATGTACCTCTGACTTATGTTCACTGCCAACCTAAAAGTACCTCAACAATAGTAATCAATAATGTATTGAAAAGTTATTTGGCTGATTGTTTTATATTGGCTCAGACAGGTTATATGGGAGGCCCAGTCTACGTACAGATCACTCATTTTTAAATATTAAACTTAGTTTTATTTTCTTTAATTTTTCATCCTCGTGTAGAAGGCTATCACGAAACATACATTTGGTTGTTTATAGCATAAAGAACATCTGAGTTAATGTGAGGTAGGGAAATAATCATTTGAGTATGTGTATATAAATATGTAATTTACAACAGCTGCTTGAAAAGCTGGAAAATGCACCTTGAAAATGCTTGAAAGTGCTTGAATTTGACTTTGGAAAAGGTGTAAGAACCCTGTAAACAGACACAAACAAATACCACTTTCATGATATTTTCTTCTATCTTATATATGTTTTGTATCTGTTAACAGTACGAAATGCTGACTCAGATGAAGTCTGCCTTTGAATCAAGGATGCAGAGACAGCATGAACTCAGTGAGGTAAGATCATACTGTGGTTTGATTTATGAAAGCTTTTGAGTGCAGATGCACCTTTTTGTGTTAAATCTGCTCAATTTGTACTATATTGATGACTCAAAACTGAACATTGGGGTTGTTCCTTGAATTGTAAGAGTACTGCTGTTTAGTTTGAACTGAAACCACATGCCAACATCCGTCTTCTACTACACATAAGCACTTGTTCTGAGGATGCTCTTCTGCTCTTTGATGTGATCATGCTCTCCGACCACATTGGTTTTACATTATCAAGAAACTGAAGTAGGGAATATTAAAGATTTTTAAAGAAACGTACCCAAACATTGATGAAAGACTGCCCTGAAAAGTCCCGTCTTTCAGTTTCTTACTTTTGTCTTTTCCTCCTTTATACCCCTTTAGAGTTGCAGTCTAAGTACTCTACAGGCTCGGCTAAAAATTGCAGCCCACCAAGCTGAGGAGGAGTCGGAGGAGACGGCTGAAAACTTCCTGGAGGGACGTACGGAGATAGACGAATTCCTCACCAGCTTTATGGATAAGAGAACGGTGAGAAGTGCACTACGTGTGTCAAAATGGTCCTGATTTATTGTGTATTTGGGTCTGAATGTGATCAGAAGTTCAATATATAAAGTTGTATTGACTGTTTTTGTATTATTCCACAGCTCTGCCACAGCAGAAGGGCCAAAGAGGAAAAGCTGCAACATTCGCTTAACACACATGGACAGTTTCCTACCAGCCACTAGAACACAAGGTACAACACAAACACATGCTCACCAATTACAAGTGTTATCACTGAACAAAACACTGTACCAAGACTATAACACCACAACAGTAATTTGTGTCTTTGTGAAGGGGAACTGGGGATTTTCAGCTGACAGTTTCAGAACAGACAGCCATCTTGCTTTCCTCCATTTTTATGAGAAACAACTTGTTGTCATTATTTCGTAACATCTTTTCTTTTTCTCCTCAGGTTGAAGATTCCTCAGCTAACTGCTGCCAACTTGAGGGATAAAGACATTGTAGGGGGAAAAGCACACTAAGTCAACAATGGGCAATTGAGAAATAGGAATACGGTGATGGCAGGAGTGGGCTAAAAAACAAGAAATTGACTGTGCCCAAGACTTGGGCTTAAAATGCTGTTCAAGTTGGATTGTGTGAAAACAAGATGGAGACGCTATTGAGTCACCACCAGAAGACAAAACTGGGAGTGACACTTGCCTCGCTTTTCCAACCACATTACTAAGGATTGATTTCTATTGCACATGCTGTTCGTCAAGTTTTGACTTGACCGTTATGACGAAGAGTTTATTTTTCTGATTTTCTATCACCTGCAACTGACTAGAGTGGTTGGTGATGTGAAAACGGGAATTCCAATCTGGCATTTGTTTTTTTTCTTGCAGTGAGCAAGTAAAAGTCACTATAAAATGATTCTTAAAATTATAATGTTGGTGTCTGTACTTCCTCTCTGAGATCATTGTCAAGTCCTTGCTTTGATATCACAGAAAGGTCCTTCTGGACAGAGAGAAGAACAACCTGTGATCTACTGTTTACATTGGATTGGTGGTTTTAGACATTTAAATGAAACTCAAAGGTGGCATTGTCACTTTAACATCAGCAGTTCCTGGCATTCCTCATTTTGTAACTTGACAAAACAATTTAAGATTGTTCAACAAAAAAAGTAGCAAGGACTGGGCAGTGTTGTCAGAAGAGCTTACAAGTTTAAAATGCGTAGGAATTTTAGACTGTTTGATTCTTTATCCGGTTGTGGGGTCCCCTCAAGTAATGCACACAGCCATGATATCAGTGTGCTTGCACAAACATTAATACTTTGATTAAACTTTCCAAGGCAATACTCTGATTTACATATTATTAACATCATAACCGTTTTAAGCTGAGGCTGAAATTCAGAGAACAGTAAACCATATAAACGGTTTGATTACACGTCTACCTTCTGTGCTCTTACAATGAATCGAGTTATTTGTGTTCATGTAAACATACTGATCATGACGGGCACCATGATGATAACCCAACAATTTTGGCGATCTTTTGGACATGACATTTTTTGGGAAAAGCCTCAGATTTTGGAAAATGCTGTGGAATATTAGGTTAAATGCTGCAGTAAAATGCAATGACATTGGATACTGTATTTAAATAATGTTAATAATAGGCTTTATTGTAATCAAAGACTTGGACACCTTGTATTATATGTTCTTATTTAATTTGTTAGAGTAATAAAGCATTTAGAATAAATCGTGTTTCTTTTTCTTGCTGTTTTACAAGTGTTAATGAACATTTCCCAGTTTAAATGTATGAAGCTACCACATCACAATGACCTGATTTCTCAACATCACTAAATCACAAATAGTCACTTTTTAAAAAAAATGGCATTCCTATCTGTTGCAATAATTTGTATTAGAATCCAATAATATCCTTATGGATTAACTCAACGACCTTACTTTACTTCTTACTCTAACAACTGGAAGCTAACACAACCTATCCAAAGTGACATAGTGGTGTGTGTGTATGACAGGACACAGCATTACTGCAATTAGTTAAACACATACAAGTACAGCTCTGTCCTCATTACTTATATCTTGCATCTGTGGCAGAGTCAGAGCTTTAAAAGGGAAGCAGCATAAAGAGATTAAGTAATTGTATTTTATTTTCATTTCCTTTGTTCATTTTCCGGAGCTGTAGGTGGCGCTAATATACCAGCCGTCCGTACCGGTAGTTGAATGAAGAGTAGAAGAAGAAAGGTCAACACAAAACAAGAGAGGAGGCGCGCATTGCAGGAGTGCAGTCACTACTTTCTTAACTTCAGAGGCTCGTATCTTCTAAATATTTAACATTTGAGCCGTTGTTTAGACAAACCGGAAAAACGACGAAGTCTCTGCCCTGTTACCGGTAAGCAAACAGCTAACGGTGGAACAGTTTGAATTAGCATTAACATTAGCTAGCTACTGTAGCTACTAACGCTTCCTATAAAACTGTTAGACGTTTACAGCCTCATTCATTCAGATAAGATGGAACGGGAGACATTAAAACAGAGGTGGAAAAAGCACTCCGATCTTGTACTTCAGTAAAGTATCAGAGTGTAGGAATACTTTGTTACAAGTGAAAATCCTGTATTCAGAATGTTACTCAACTAAAAGTACAAAAGTAGTGGCATCAAATATACTTAAAGTACCCAAAGTAAAAGTACCCATTCTGCAGATTGGCCCATTTCAGAAATAATATGTTTGATTATAATTATTGATGCATTAAAGGGTTATCAAAGCTGGTAAAGTTGCAGTTACTTTGTATACTGCAGTGTAGATTGTGATTGTTAGTCCAGGACAGGTGTAACTAAAGTCTGATTTAAGTTTTTATCTTTCACATCTTTAATCAACATCGTCACTTAAAACACCACATAGATGAAGTAGAGTAAAAGTATTCTATTTTCCTTTTGAATTGTAGTGGAGTAGAATTACAAAGTAGCATAACATAGGGCTGCACGATTTTGGGAACAAATCTAATTGCGATTTATCTGATACATTTTGCGATTACGATTCGAATTGCGATATTTATTTTTAAGCGACCCAACGGAAGTTTATTGTAAAATGCGGCCATAACTCCGACTAGGAAGGTCGCATCAACGTGCTCCCGTCTCTAGCACCCCTGCAGCCCGAGCTACGAGTGAAAGAACTACATTTACATGAAAGTTCCGTTGGGTTGCTTTAAAGTCAAGCTTCAGTTTAAGACTCACCCTGTCATAGATGTAGAACATGTGATGGAGCATTACTAACCTGACTCAGATGCTTTGTTTCACCAAACCATCTAGGAAAGCTCCATTGGAAGCCATTGGAAAAGGGCAGGCACTTTCAAAAATAAATGGCAGGTGATTTGATCAATCTGATCTATCACCTTCTATCATGGGCCACTTCTGATTGATTAACAATGGCTGGTACAAGTGGAGCACAGCACTTCTGATTGGTGTGGATGACTGACACACAAGAAGACAAAACATTTTTTGTAAAAAGTTTTAAAAAATCGCAGGCTTTGCGATTTGATAATCGCATCATTTCAAATCGCGATTTCGATTTAAAATCGATTAATCGTTCAGCCCTAGCATAACATGGAACTACTCAAGTAAAGTACAAGTACTGCATAATTTGACTTAAGTAGAGTACTTGAGAAAATCTCCGTAGTTACTTCACACCAATGCATTAAACCATAGTTACACTTGTTTATGCCTTAGCCAAATATTTGTATAGCTGTCACCAAAGATAGGGATTTATTGAGGGGGTATTTGTTGTGTCAGTGTGATTTGGATAACCATGTGATTGTTTGGTTTGAAAGTACTTTAATAACTATTTTCAAATATATTGTAGGTTGGAGACAGTACAAGCATCTGTGTTCTGTGTCTCCAGATCAGTCTAGAGTCATGTCACGACAGATGGGAGACAGCCATCGACGGTTCCTGCAGACCATGATGGCCAATGGCATTGTTGATGAACAGGGGGCGAGGAAGCTCATCGCACATTGTTGTGAAGCCTCCAACAGTGAGTCAATTTGATTTGTACACTCATAAAGAGTTACTGATCATCTACAATCGGTTACAAGAGTTTAGCTTTGTATCAGGATACAGGAGTTTTGTCTTAAGGACTATAATACAATTCTCGTATTGGTGAGAATCAGGATAAAAAATAATATATATATATATTAGGGCCGGGACTCGATTAAAAAAATTAATCTAATTAATTAGAGGCTTTGTAATTAATTAATCGAAATTAATCGCATTTTTAATCGCATATAAATATTTGACCTAAGAACAGTGAGAAGCAATTTTTTTCACATGGATTTTAGTATACCATTAGGCGCATTCACACCGCAGTACTTTTCCCACAAAGGTTCATGAGAACTCTTTGAACCTGGGGGTGGATTAGGCAAATGAAGCCGCTGACGTCACTTCTTCTTCTTCTGCTTTGGGTTTACTGGCAGGCCGCAAACCACTTCACGGCGTATACTGCCGCCCAAAGTCCCCGGCCGGAAGTGCCCGGAGTTGGGGACTGGCTTCAGTAGAAGCTGCTGGGAGTCCCAGCAGCCTTCCGAGTAAATCGCCAGAACGCCGACACCTCCTCATCTCCACCGCTCCCATGTTTTATTTTGTGTTGCCATAAGTTAGTCTCTCTGCGTTTCTGCGCTGGGCTAATGCTGATAATGCTAATGCGAGGATAATAAAATGGCGGCTTCACCAAACTTTTTGGGAGTTTTACGGGGCGTGGTTTGCAATCCGCCCAGCCAATCAGAAATATAGCTATTTTCTCACAAGAGAGCCGTACGAAAGTCCCTGCTCTCTAGCAGGGACTTTCGTGGGGGTAAAAAGGTTCTCATGAACTAATTTTAGTACCGGCACTTTTTGGTGTGAACGCGATAAAAGAGGCTAACGTCCACGCTAGCTGCTATATGTTTTGCATTGAGGTGATACTTGAGGCTTGATGTGCTGCGGTGATATGCGAATTCCTTTTTGCATAATTTGCACACAACCGTGCTCTTATCAACGCTTCCATCCGTCCGTTTTTTAAAACAACATTTCCCACTGTTGTTCACTGTGGTTTGTTGTTGTCTGAAGTCATGAACGTTAGTTGGTGCTCCAGTATAATCGGTACGCCTGAAACTCATCCAGTGAGAAACGTTCCGCGGTGCAAAAATAATTGCGATTAAAATGCGTTAATTTTTTTAACGCGTTAATTTTTGTGTAATTAATTAATCTTAATTAACGCGTTAAAGTCCCGGCCCTAATATATATATATTATAAATGTGGTGATCTTTTTTGATTGCTTAAATATTTTTATAAAAAAATGTTTAAAGTGTTTTTCAATAGCTTCCATGTCATATGACCTGTTGATTTCCAATCCATTCCTTAAGACACACATTACAACACTGGACAAGTAGAACACAAAAAGATCTGGAAGCGGCAAAAATAAGATTTTGAAAGTGAAAAACATTCTGAACGAGAAAGAAAAAGATTTTAGACGAGAACAATTTGCTCTGAATCTGTAAACATCACATCTGCATCTGAAAAAACGAATTACTTAAATCTGTATGTAAAAAAATATTTTATTTTGAATGATCAGGATCAAAACTTTGACTTCCAAATTCATTTTTATTTTTGTCAAATGATCAAAACTTTTGGCCCAGATTTAGCTCCATAGTCACATCCTTTTTTTTGTATTGGAATTGAGTTTACCTTAATTTTATGATGAATATTTTATGTAAACATCAGCAGCTTTTCATTGAAATCTCTTGGATTTTTTTCAACAGCTTCCATCTCGTGACAAATTGACTCCCAGTCAGTGCAGAATTGTATACCCACAGTAAACAAGTTTGACAAACATATTTTTGTAGAACTTACAGTATTTGTCTTGTTTTCAGCCCAGCACAATCCTGACAAACTGGATGATTTCATTGAGACCATCAACTTGAAGCTGCAGCCCATGTTCATGCAGATTACAAAAGGGATGTCTGAAGATAGCGGTCATCAATTCTACGCATTGGTGAGTCGGTTCAATTCCTGTCCTTGGTTTTCATTGTCAGGCCTGTTTTCCTTATTAGTAACTATTTTATTATCACAAGAATGTTGGTTTATCTTCTTATAGATTGTTGCTACAGTATATGACAGATTTTTCAATCAATAAATACATCTAAATCTGTTGTGGAATCGATTTGAAAGCCACATTATATTTGTATATCTTTCTGTATCGACTATCAATATGATGTAATTATATGTGAAGAAAAGTGGCAGTGATAAATAGATTTATCAACATCTAATGTCAAAAGAGAGATGTCTTTATTAGAAGTATGTTAAACCACAAGGAGGCATTGTTGACCACTGTTTTACTTTAATCCTGTCCAGGTGAACATGGCGGAGACTGATGTCACACGTATGTCGTCAGATTATGCCGACAATGAGCTAGAGCTGTTCAGGAAAACGGTGAGTTAAAGGGAAATCCTGCATAATTGTGTATATACTCTTTTGTCCAACACCTTTTTCAACACAGTTCTAATACAATACTTAGTTTGTAGTATGATATGAACAGTTAAAATATAGTTTTAATCTCCAAGAGGTATAGCTTCACTGCAATAAGGAAAAAAGGTTTGCTTCTCCAGTGTGCAAAGAATGTCATGTCTAACCTGAGCTGTTGTGATTCAGATGGACTTGATCGTTTGTTCCGAGAAGGGCAATGCCTCATCCACTGATATCCTGAACAGCGCTGACACCATGACCACCAAAAAGCTGAAGAAGAGCGAGACAGAGCACCTCTTGAACCGTCTCGTGCATGACAAATGGCTCAATGAGGTAAAACAGTCTCCACAGGATGTACAAAAAAAAATTCTCGTTGCGGTGTCCTGTTTTTGGAGGCAGACACTTTTATCAAAAGTAATTTGATTTAGTCTGGCTATCTTTTAGTTTGCCATTTTCACCAAAATTGATGTTGTTGATATCTATTATTAACTGGTTGTACTGATTTAATGTTGGAAAATCTAGTTAATAATAATAGATTTAATTTGTTAGCGCTTTTACAGGTGCTCAAAGACGCTTTATAGATATAGTGAAGATAAAATAAAGGAACAACAAATAAATATATAGTTAAAGTCAAATAATACAAAAACAATCACACATTAAAAGCCAGATTGAAGAGGTGAGTTTTTGTAAGTTTTTTGAAGGTGGTTACTGAAGATGAGAGATTTTGTGGGGGTATTATATATATATATATATAGAATAATATGAAATATAATTGAAGATGGATGCATTACAAGAATATGAGGCATGATAACGGAAATAAACAATACTATCTTATGCTGGGTTATCATGAATGTATCTTTGATAGACTTGTTCAGGTTCCCATAACCACATTTCACTTTTCAAATTGTGGAAAAGCAATAAAAAAAGGTTAACACAAGTCGCCATCCTAGATTAGAAATATAGATTTATTTTTCCAAATAAAATAGAAATAACATCCACTCCTACTTACCATATAAAATGTGACCAGTCTCTTTGATTTATTTCCATTGCTGTAGAAACGGGGTGAGTACACTTTGTCCACCAGATGCATTATCGAGATGGAGCCATACATTCGCACAATGTATCAGGATCAAGTCAAAGTGTGCCACATCTGTCGCAACATCGCTTTCCAGGTAAATGTTTGCTTTGTTTCTCTTTTGTGCATACACACTACACTGTGATCAATAGCTAAATGAATCCGATCCTTCCTTAAGAATCATATTTTCATTGCTACTCTATGTACTCTGTAATCATTTAATTATTATTAATGTATTATTAAATCTATGCATTACTGGGAGAAATATATTTTATTATTTGTAGGCAGGTTTCTTTTGCAAAATAATCACACATTCATTATTTTGACAAAGAATATAATCCCTACCAGTATTTTAGTTCTAGTTCTTTAGTTTTGTTTTGGCGTTTGTTTTTTTCCTTTCACTGAAATGGATTTTCTTTCTAAACAGTCTTCATTGTGGCTTTACTTCAGCTAAAATGTGTCAAACCTGATATTTACAAAATGAGTTCACCCACAGTATTAATCTGATCTGAATTTATTTTTTCAGTGCCAAATTTGTGAGAACCCTACATGTGGTATAAAAATACACAACCCATGTGTTGCCCGATACTACAAAGGGAGAGCAGAGCCAAGGTGTCCAGCATGTGATGACTTTTGGCCACATGAAATCCCGGGTATTTATTGTTTATTTATTGATGTTGTTTACTCGGATATTAGTCCTAAATACATATATAGATACACTTTAAAATACCTACATACATTTTTTCTAAAAAACCTTGAAAAATATATATATTTTCCCAGGATGTTTTGCCTTTCAAAAATGTCATTATGCTTCATTAAGATTTTTGGTAAAAACATAGAATGATGTGTTTCATTATACTTACATACTGCTTTACTTATCTGAATTGTTTATATAACATGAATACATGAAAAAGGACAACACTATCTACCATACAAATATGTTGGACTTAGTGTTCTTTTTATTTTTATCATTTCAAACCACATAGCATATTAGGCTTCTTTAATATGTATTAATAACAACATTTAAAATGAAGTTATGTATGAACAACTAAAAGTAACTAGAACAAGAAAGTAGTCAGATTGACAGTTTATTTGTTCTGTTCATTGCAGAAGTCAGGCGGCCCAAGTCTCAGTCCAGAAAATAAGGAGTTCAACTTCAAATGTGTTTTTGTTTTTTATACTTGTTTAACATTTCTATGTATCTATGTACAGTTTTTTTAACTGTTAATTTAAATTACTTTATAGTTATATTTAATAAAATACAATTGTTTCACAACAATGTCTTTAACATGTTTATTTCGCACAAATATAATTTCTTATAGTGGTAGTTGTGGACACACTATATCTGCTTTGAGATGCATACTAATTTTCTTACAGATTGTTTCCTATACTTTCAAAACCAAAATAAGACAATGTTTTCTTAACATTTTCTTTTGCTTAGCATTTGAAACAATGTGTTATCTCTATTATAGTACCATCTTGATATATTTATCACACAATCCTTGCGCAGTAACAATGTTGTGACTGATACATAAACCATGTCCAAAAATCAAAAGAAAATGAAACCTATGGGAGCCCATCAAGTTTAGTCTGTTCAGGTCCTTATAGTTAAACATGTAAAGTCATTAAACATGCTGTATGAATAGACCTGATGTTTTTTAAAAAGTCCCATTTTCATAATTACTAGCTGATTATGTTATGGTTTAATTGACTAATAGTTTGGTCTTTAAAATATCAGAAAATAACCATGACACTCTTCTCATGCCTAAGGTGATCTATTTTAAGCCTTTGACCAAAACCCAAAGATATACAGTTCACTAAAATATAAGACTAGGAGAAGCAGACGATGATCACATTTAAGAGGCTGAAAACATCAAACTTTAAGCGTCATTGATTCATAAAAGACTGATTGCTTTTCCAATATGATGTCACATGCTGCATTTCTGTTGTTAACATATACTTTACTGGCACATATGACCCAAACATTTTTACTTTCACATTTATATCAGTCATTTAAAATGTGTGTAGTGACTTTAAAGCATATTTGCATGAGAGGAGTTCTGCTCAAGTATCTTCAGGGTCACAATAAACTTGATAGCTTTTTTGAACCAAGGATATAAAAAAACATACATGAGTTGGTTCAAACAAGAATTCAAATACAACAGCCAGGTCACAATACCCAAAACTTGTAAATTATCCTCTCCTGCTAGAGAAGGATAATAATATGGACAGAAAGTAAACAAATACACAAGTATGACAATACCCAGAATCCCGGCTGCTTTTCGCTGCGATTTCGTTGCCTTTACTTTACCGCCGGTACCAGCTGTAATATGAGAATTCATGGAACGAGTCTGAGACACCACCACAGTAAACACTCTCGTGTACAGAACAATAATGACTGAGCAGGGGCCGATGAATGTGACCACAATATCCACAGCTTCAGAGACATAGTTAATCACCACTATACACTCACCATCGCAGTGTCTGTCCTTTAGACTGAAATTGTCCTTTAAAATCAGCCCGTTGTAGAGAAATGAGCAGCCCCAGCACACACACACACACACACAGACATCTCAGTTCTTCTGCGAGTTATCTTGTTGATGTACTGCAGAGGATAATTGATTGCTACAATTCGATCAATCGAGATGAGCACTATGATGCCGACCGAAGCTGAGGTGAGAGTAAAGCTAAGAAAGAATGACAGACTGCACATGATATCACCTAGCAACCAACAGGATTCGATGATTTGCATACTTTCAACAGGCATCACAAGCAGTCCAACGAGGAGGTCTGATATAGCCAGGGCGAGAAGGAGCAGGTTGGGTGGGATTTGAAGATGTCTGAAGTGGGAGATGGAGATGATCACCAGCAGGTTGAGAGCAACAGTGATCACGGCGATGGAGGAGAACAGTGTGTAGAGGAGGACAGCCTCAGAGTGAGGATGCTCTAATCCCCTGCAGGACCAGTTCAGGAGCTGAGGGTAGCAGAGCTCTAGACTGCTCATCTTCCAAACCTGAGGAGAGATGATGATCTGAACCTTCACTAAACTCACAGGACATCATACAGCTTTCTTATCTCTGACGTCACTCTTTACACCTCCTCTGAGCTGATAGGCTGGTGTTGACAACCTATTCCTTGTTTCTTACATTTCTCATTATCTATCATCCTCTTGGTCACCCCTCCTTTCTCATCCCACTGTTACATGATGCAACATTTGAGTTGTATGCAATTGCCAAAACAATTTACTCTTTAGATTTGGTCATTTGTAATAAAGTCACACACTTGTTCTGACAGAGACATTTCGAGCTTGTTTAATTACTTGTGATGTCTTTTTTTTTAGGGCACAACAACCTCTGTTGTGGTTTTGTGCGAGAAAATGCTTCAGATGTACAAGCACAGGCACAAATCATTTGTGTAAGGAATGAGAGCCAATGAGATCCAATTGCAGTTTGTACGGTAGTGATTTCAGCCAGATTAGTCTCTAAACTGTTCTCTGCAGTTCTATGTGGGTATCATTGAAAGAGTATTTAGGATAAATCAACAATCATTTAAATGTAATCAACAATGATTTGTATTACTCTAAAGCTAATCACTTAAATTGTTAACAGGATTCCCATGCTTTTTCCTGCAGTTTTTTTGTTTGTTTTCATAGTGTTTCACTTTTAGATTATTAATAAGGCACATTGACAAGGACTGAACTTGTGGCCTGGGAAATTGCAATTGGAATGTATGAAACTTGTTTATGCTCTGAGCAGTTCAAAGTTTACGGCCTTCTTAGATTCTCTGAGAAGGGTCCTAGAGAGGTTACTGCCTAAAGACTTGGTGGATTGGAAGTCTCAGAATTGCTTCACTGCTAGTGGGATCTGTTTTGGTTTTCTTCATCAAACTGTGAATTTCTGCACACACTGGAGCAGTTTGCAGTTGAGCGTGTGAAGTGGATAAAATGAGTCAAACACTTTCTGAGGCCGTGGTCTCTGCATAAACAAGATTGATTGCTCCCTCCGGGTTCTGGGTGAATTTCTGCCTTGTGAAGGAGTTCAAGTATCTTGTGGTGTTGTTCATTGGTGAGGTTATGTGTTGTACAGTTGAGGCCTAAATTATTAGCCCCCCAGGAGTTATGGAACATTTTCCTAAAATTCTTCCCAATGTTTCCAGCATTGATAAAACTTGATATAATCAAACATTCACCAGTGCTATTTAGTAGCTTTTGGTACATTTTGGAAAATAAAATAAGTTTTTAGGCTCGCTTTATATCAAATATAGTGAAAAATTGGTTGGTCAAAAAATATTAGCCCCCATGTGAATTTTTGCTTTCAAAACACACCTGAGCAACCAATCAGCTTTCAAGACACACCTGAGCATTCAATCATCATAAAAGGACTCCAAGAAACAGGCACTTGAATACCTTATTGAGAGGGACTATACTCCTACTCACCATGCCAAAGACAAAGGAAATCAGTCTTGAGCTCAGAAAGAAGATAGTAGAGGCTCATGATAAGGGGGAAGGCTATACTGCTATGTCCAAGCACTTCACAGTGTCTAGAACTGCTGTACGTTGCATCATTGCGAAGTACAAGGAGACACATTCTGTAAGAAACAAACCTAGGCGTGGTCGAAAGCGCAATATTTCAAGAACTCTGGAGAGGAAAATAGTCAGAGATGTCTGCAAGAATCCCCGGACATCTGCCAAGATGATTGTTGCTGACCTGGCCTCTTCTGGAGTTGATGTTTCAAGGAACACAGTGGTGAGGGCTCTTCATCGTGGTGGGCTTCAGGGCCATCGTCCCAGAAGAACCCCTTTACTCAAGGAGTGGCACATCAGAGCCAGACTGAGGTTTGCCCGTGAACATTTGAAAGGTAAAGATGAGTTTTGTAAGTCTGTGCTTTGGTCTGATGAGACTAAACTGGAACTGTTTGGGCACATGGATGTTGCTTATGTTTGTCGAAGAAAGGGAGAGGCCTTCAACCCTAAGAACACATCATGCTGTGGGGCTGTTTTGCAGCCTCAGGCACAGGGAGTCTTGTTTGGGTGCAAGGCATCATGACAAATTAAAATTATGTTGACATTTTGAGGGATAATATGAAAAGATCTGCTCTTAGTCTTCGCTTAGGTCATCGCTGGGTCTTCCAACAAGACAATGACCCAAAGCACACGTCAAAATTGGTCCAACAGTTCCTAAAGGACACCAAAATCAAGGTGCTGGAGTGGCCCGCACAGAGCCCAGATCTGAATCCTATTGAGAATCTGGCGTGTGCTCAGAGTGAATGTCCATGCTCGGAAACCACGCAATTTGGACCAGCTGGAACAATATTCAATGGAAGAATGGGCCAAAATCCCTCAAGAGACCTGTGGCAACCTAGTAAATAACTACTCTAAGAGGTTGTTGTCAGTTGTGGCTCAGAAAGGGTACACTATTGACTATTAATGGCCTGGGGGCTAATATTTTTTGACCAACCCATTTTTCACTATATTTGATATAAAGCAAGCCTAAAAACTTATTTTATTTTCCAAAATATACCAAAAGCTACTAAATAGCACTGGTGAATGTTTGATTACATCAAGTGTTATCAATGCTGGAAACATTGGGAAGAATTTTAGGAGAATGTTCAATAACTCCTGGGGGGGTAATAATCCTCAACTGTATGAACAGGTGGATTGGTGCAGCGTTGCATCGGCCTGTTTTTGTGAATAAGGCCGTGAGCTGGAAGGCATATGAATAGTATTCCTCCATGGCAGTATTTTGGGGTACAAGTTAACAACCCATCCCCACATCAGTGGATTAAAAAAGATAATTGACAAAAAAGTATTGATTAGTTGAAGCCCTTGATTTTAATCTCTAGAATATTTATTCAAAGTGCTTTGAAATTCACACATGTTTATACACAGACACTATTTAACTGAATGGCGCTTTTGAAATTTGAACAAGACCGAACTGTTAACCCTTCAAATAACGGATGACCCATTCAACGACCTGTGACCTGGGCATACGCCAATAGTAGTTTGCTGTAGATATGCCACTTTAACGTCACTGAATCCAAACATCTACGTGTGCTGGCCACTGGTTAAGGTGGCACTTTACAGCATCCATTGCCGCTTCCCAAGGCAGACTGTCTTAAGGTCTGCGGTGATGTTGCCACCCCACCTGACTGGAAACACAGTCTCATCTTGTTTAACATGCAACTAATGAGTTTATTAAGTTAGATGTTTAGAAAACAAAATGAGTTCAAGCCTTTCATAGATCTGGCCTTTTTTGCTTTCTAAGTGCACCAAAAGCACAT